AATACTCATCTAATTAGATATTATCATTGTAGTTTAGTGGCTTGGGGTAAGATCACTGAAAAGCGATCAATTCCATGTTTGTCTAGTCCTTTAAGTGTTGATCAGGTTGCATTGTATCCACTAATTTAGGTGAGCCAACACCGCATGCACTGTGTTGAGATGCTAAGTAGTGGTTGGAGGTAGTCAGCAAGAAAATCTAACCATCGAACATCTTTGGACTTTGAATCATACTGCTACAGAATCTTAACAATCCTATAAGATAGTTTACCCTGTTTATAAACAAATATGCTTGAATAATTTAGGTATTTTCATCTAAAACTCCAAGAGTACATGTAATAAGTCGTATTTTTGCTGTTTACTAATCCTTCGTAATCAATAACTATGCATTATATTCTTGAATCTTGAAACAGGATATTATAGGAACAATTATATTTCCTGTCTACTTATGTTATTGAGTCGTGTCAGTTCAGTATAATCATATAAATTCACTCAGTCTTTTGAACTTCACTACATCCTGAATATGTTATATATGTTTTCTAGTTTTTCCTGTTAGTTACAGTTTTATAAGGCTCATCACTATGCAGTAGGCTCGTAACACATTATCTAGTCTATCGGGATGTTCGAAACTAATCATGTAGATCAGACATATATTTTCCTTGCACCCAAATAGAACTATTGTTCTCTGTGAATATAAAGTTCTAATGTATTCGCCTTCAAACTGAAAGCATTAAGTAATGTCTTAATTGTATGATTCGCATGTATAGATTTAGATTTGCTTACGTCTTTACCTAGTAAAATTCAGGTTAAGTGTCTACTTCATCAACTTAATGTGCAGTGATACGATGAAAAATATATCACAATGCATTTAGATTTCTTTTGGAAACGCGAACAAGTGCAAATTATCAGAAAGCATAAAAAAACAATCTGACCCATCGAAATAATATGATGAGATTCTTTCTACTTATTGACAAATTACATTCTAAAATTCAATGTAACAGCTTGAATAGTAATATTTAAGTATACATATACATATACATATATACACTCATAACACCTCTAAGTGTGAAGGACAAATGTGTATATTACCTATAATTATTATTAGGCTCAGCGCTAAACATTTCTGTATTATGCAGCATTCCTTTGTTGCACATCGAGTCTTGTCGTTTGTTGTCGTCGCTACTTGGTTCTTAATCGCACGGTTAGCTTTATGTGGTCAGTTATAGTTTATGTTCTAAGAGTTTGGAAAAAGACTATTACAGAATACTTGACAACTTAAGTTATCATCTAATTATCTCTTTCAGCATGTGTAAATAAAGAGCTGTGGATATTCCGTTTCTTATCCTGACATTAAAACTTTTAAAGAACAGTCGAAAATATATTCACTGCACTTAAAATAAAACTAGTAAAATATGGACCAGAAAACTACGCTGGTGATTCCTTATCTGGATTTATAACTGCAATCACTTGAACATACACTACTCTGATACCTTATACAGAAACTGGTAATCACTGATTGTCTTGCCAAGTGTTTGTACTAAAAGTAACCACTTACTATGGTGAAATGCCTTCTTAAAATCCTTACTGGGATCAGGAGTATTGTTTTGGGCAGTCTATATTTATAACTGTATTTTCTTGCAATTATTCTAAAAACCCTTAATTTAATTTTGAACTGTAAGATACAACTCTAGATTTTACCACTTCATATTCCAAACAAACGATCCCTGATGATAAACCTTAAGTTGATGTGATGGTGACATCTCAAAACTGTCACAGTTCTGTGAAAATCTTCAAGCTTTTCGTGGCATTTTCTCAAATTTTATACGAGACTGAGAGGATCGATGGATTTTCCCCTTAATTTATTCGGTCGTTTGTTTGTGTTGGCGTTTTCGACTTACTTCCTTATAGATCAAACTGGACTGTGAAAAAAGTACGAAATAGGTGAGAGATTTAAAAATCGATCTACCCTCAACAAAGTGGTTATAAGCGGCTTATTTTTATTCTACCGATTTCAGCAATAATCTGCGTTTAATATACTAGTCACTGTGATAGAAAAGTTACGTCGACGCACTTCCCAGACAACCAATAAAGGGGAAATAAAGCGGAAAATGCATTGGAAAATAAGTCGTAAATAAAGGGGAAATGCGCCAAAATGTCAGCTTTTTCGCCTGTCCGGGGGAAATAAGGCGGAATTTCCCCTTTCTGTCGCTCTGCTTTTCAAATGTCCCTAAATTTCCGATTTTCACCCTAAATATCCGACGATTTGCCGACTTTTCCCTTAAATATCCGTCGAATTTCCGATTTATACCCTAAATATCCGACGATTTGCCGAACTTTACCTTAAATATCCGACGAACATCCGTCGGCTTGCCGATTATTATCCTAAATATCCGCTACATTGTCTAATTTTCCACTACATACACACTCATGTATTAACCGCAACCGCCTCCTGTGTTCGCTTTCATTCCCACAACACAGCACACAAATAATGTAAAGTACGTAAAATGTGGTATAATTTCCAATTTTTTATTGAAAACAAAAAGTTCATCAATGTACAAAGTTATGAGCAGTTGGCAGATGGTAGAGGATCAATGCTCCAAGACCACTTATTAACATCTCAACACAGTGCATGCGGAGTAGGCTCACCTAAATTAGTGGATACAATTCAACTTGATCAACACTTAAAGGACTAGACAAACATGGAATTGATCGCTTTTCAGTGATCTTACCCCAAGCCACTAAACTACAATGATAATATCTAATTAGATGAGTATTCTTCTAAATTATGCATTGGTTTATACAAATAATATAAATTATAACTCCTTGATTATAAAGTATAACACAACACATTTTATGTATTATAGCAATTTACGAAGATATGACGTATAACACACAACTGGTGTTGAACTACTTTTGCCTGTTTCAAGTTTTCAAATGACTTTATTGACTATCTAACTTTAAGGTGCCGTCCAAAACACCTGAATAAATACAAATATATTTATGTTACCAATATCTACATGACTCCAGACTACACATCATCTGCGCTATCTGGCTCCGCTGATAAATTTACTGAATTCGCCGTTACTGCCTTCAGTGAAATTACAGGGAACAGGAAGACTAGAAGCGATAACCAGCTGAATGCTTGTGACTTAAATAAGTCCTTTATAGGTCAGTCATCTGACATCATGCTCCCTATATCCAAGGGTCCGAAGAATAATTGTGTTTCCAGTTTCACTGAAAATGATGTCCGAAAATGTCTCCAGTCTCTGATTCATCCCAATGTTTAGGACCTGATAGTATCCCAAACCTCCTTTTTTAAAAAAAAGTGATGTTTTATGTTATCCATTAACGAATATCTTTAACAGATCTTTCTCAACTAATGTCTTACCGAAAATGTGGAGAAAGATAAAGATAATCCCTATACCAAAGAAAGTTTCTGGTGATAAAAATTCGAAACTTAGACCCATTGCAATAACTTCACCTTTCCTTAAAATAATGGAAAAATTACTGATACAACCACTTCAACCTGCATAAAAGAGTACTGTGATCCATATCAGTTTGCTTACAAATGCAAAAGGAGCACATTAGACGCCGTTGCTGTTCTGCAATATAGTGTTCGGGTTGGAAAAGGGTAAGAAGTATGTTAGATGCGCCTTCCTGGACTTTACTTCTGCTTTTGATTCTATCCCAAGACACCTCTTACTTAACAAGCTGATCAGCGTCGACACTGACAGCTGGATAACCAATTGGCTATGTTCCTACCTTTCTGGAAGAGAACAGTACACTTTATTTGAAGGAAAGTGTTCAACATCTCTACTGTCTAATGTAGGTGTGCCACAAGGAGCTGTTCTTTCACCTTTGCTCTTCTCTTTTTTTCTGCCATCTTCCACAGAAAACACTTTTGTAAAATATGCGGACGACCTGACTGTATGTATGCCGATTTCTACCTCTTTACATTCCATAGAAATGAATGAGTTTTTATCTCATATTGAAAGGTGGTCTGTTGGTAATGGTCTCTTACACAATCCATCTAAATGTCAAGCTGTTAATTTTAGCTTGAGACATGGACAGAACCTACACTCTATTTTGGGATCCCATAATGCTTGTGCCATTGGAGACTCCTCAATAAACACAGTGTCGATTTGAAAGAATGTATACTTTGCAGCTTAAAATGTTAGCAAGCTTGAGTGAACTGAATACAAATATGAAGCTGGTGCTCTCAAGGTTCACTGACCGCGAACATCCGCGTCAATTTGACTGTGGACTATCCAGCCAATAGTTCCCTTTGTCATCTGAAGAGGAACTGGGAACTTTGGACGCTTGTCTAGAGCAAAAAGACGTGAGGGACAGATTTGTAAGCACACAACATGATTTTTATCCTTCATTCCTATTACAGATGGCCATGTTGACACGTTTAATGGATGATGATCCTAAAACCTCCATGCGATATATTCTGTCCAACATCATGAAACCTGAAATCGATATTAATTTCACGCTACTGGGTACTTCATCAAAACGAGCGATTCAGAAGTGCAGGATTTATGGCAACACATAACAAGTTCAATAGACACATGTCTTATAAATAATATGCATACACAAATTCCTCAGGAAAGGAAGTTAAAAGACAAACTACAAGTATGTAAGTATGTTATTTTATTGATAAATTCATTTATTATAAAAAAGAAAATTAACACAGGTTTGCAGAAAATTAAAGTAGTAACATTGAATCATGAAGAATAGAAATTCAAACAAGATTTCACAGCGAGGATTTTTAAAAAAAATGGTCAAGAAATGATGTGTACAATTGATAGAATGAACCGAGCCTCTAAGTTTGTAATCGAAAAGTGCAAACATATCACAATGGCTCTTGACAAAAAAAGAATTCACATTAAATAATCAGAGAGATGATAACTAGAAATAATATATGGAGCGAAATATTGTACAGCGAAATAGAGAATAAAGAGTAAGAGAGAGAGTGACGAAGAAAATACAAAGATACTTACAATAACCAACAATGTAATAGCATTAGATGCACAAAAAAGAAATAGATCAAAAATATAAAAATAGGTTTAGGTCTAGGTTGACTTTGCAGACGAAGTGAAGTATGTTTTATACCACTAGATATTCTGGATGTTAGTTGTTGACTACGTACAACCAAAAGCTTCAATAAAACAGATAGCCAATCCTTTTGGTTAACTACAGTAAGGATAATAAAAATTAAATGGTATTATTGGGTAAACAAAGTAACTTTTAAATTCATTTAGTGGTTTGTTTGAATCTTCCTATCGATGTGTTAGGACTGCAACTGGTCAGTCTCCATTTAGGACTCGTCAGCTGGATGTACCCGCATCTCAGAGTTGATGTTCAATCTGGGACTCGAACCCAGTACCCTCGCTTCAAACGCCATCGCGTTATCCACTCGGCCACTGAGTCCTGATAGCCACTTTTAGTTATATTCAAGGTTACATAAACCGCACAATCTTAAGAAGAGAATAAACTTTAACACCAAAATAGGCAGCTAAACCTTTATTATAACTGGTAGTGTGATCAATGTTATGGACGGCTGTAAAATTCCTAACACGTTCAATATCATAAATTTTATTTCAGTAAACATAACATATCGAAGTAGACAATGATTTTACACTAGTAATACAAATGCTTCGATGAACTAAGACCCCGAAAGTGAACGATTTTTATCGACTAACCTATTATTCCTATTATCTAAACCTGTATTTTAAACCTGAGCATTGTTCACTCGACGATGATATAAAAGGTTAATTATGGTCTATATCAATATTCTAATTTTGAAAAAAAATGGTGACGTAAACTGAATTGTTAGTTTGAGAAGGATTTAAGTCTATTTTTCCCTAGTATTAAGTTTGATGTGTAACACGAAACGACTGTCAACCAACATCACAGTTAGAATCTTCAGTACGAACGTCAAGACAGTTCTATTATACAGAGCTGAACTTTGGAGAACTACCACAACCATCATCAAAAAAAAGTATTTATAAACGATTATCTTTGCAAGATGCTCAATACCCGTTGACCGGATACCATCAACAACAGCCTACTGTAGGAGAGAACAAACCAGCTTCCAGATGAAGAAGCTAGGAAAAGATGTTGGAGAGGGGATAGGGTTCAAATTGAGGAAATCATCAGACTACATCACGAGGCGAACCGGAACTTGGAATCCTTAAGGGGTAAAGAAAAGAGAAAACCCAAAAAAGCACTCTGCACCGAGAGTCGGAAACAGATATCCAAAGAATGAATAGCAACTGGAAAGGATTGTCCAGGACAGAGTTCAACGTAGAATGCTGGTGAGCTGCCTATGCTCCTCTATGAAAGGTAATAGGCGTAAGTAAGTAGGCTATACGAATTTACTGTGAAAAATAATAGTAAAACATCCTAACAATATTATAAAATGGCATACGCGTACAAGAAACTAATATGAGGTGAAACAGTCGATTTTATTTTTTAAATCTTACTGTTTGTTAATCGGTATCGAATCACCTTAAATTTTTTCAGTGGAGCAATGGTTTATTGGTTAAGGTATTTGAATTTCATCCACTAAGTGTCAGGTTGGAATCCCGCGCCCCAAGTACTTAAGTTTAGACAACTGGATGGTATCTCACTAGCTCTCACACTTGGAGTGTGGTTCATACCTAAGTACTGAGTGAATGAGTTCACTGATTTTGAAACTTTTCTGATAGTTCTAACATAATATAATAGTGCACTCAACATAAAAGTCATGCACAACATACAAAAATTAATCTATAATCTTTGCTGATAATTCAACTGTTATATAAATTACATTTACTCAAATAAAAGCTAATTCACACAAGTAGAATAAGTTATATTACAAGTATAATCAAAAATCTTACTTAATTGATATAAGAATTTGAATTTGATGGAAGGAGAACGTAGAAATGATTCTTTAGGTTCAAACGACTGAAGATCTCTCAAATTAAAAACTGCTGGTTCGCTTGTATAATTATTATTTGGCTCATGTATTTTAATAGATAATTCCGATGTCCTACAAAGAAATAACAAGCAAGAAACCATTCATATGATCTACACAATAATAAACGTATTGCAATTATCATTACCAAAGTTGAACTTGATAATTTCAAATAAATTGAGCATGGAGTAGATTGTTATAAACAAAAATAATATGTTTGTAATAACCCAATGGGTAGAGAAATTAGATTTCCTGATGTTTTGTGATTCAGTATAAGCCACTTCTTCTTCTTCTTCAGAGAAGTGGCTTCAACTCACATTCCTAGTGTAAGCCCCAGTGATACAATTCGAGTCCAAAAATTTGAATGTCTTACATAAAAAGCCACTGAGTTATATTCAATAATATACACGTAATACAGATGTGTAAATGTACTGGTAGTTGACATCTTACAAAAATTTTAAACTTGCTACTGAAATTCACGAGTTCATATCCATTGGAAATCTTAAGACTGGCTTAAGTGAAGTAGAATAAATTAGGAAAACAGTTATCAGATATTCGGATATTTAGTAATTTAATAGTTGAATTCATGAGTCAATCAAAGCTAGACCACCTTGGAAAACCTGGAACCACTGAATGGACGTTTATTCCAGGTAATGGGACTCCTCAGCAATACGCATCCACGATCCCACTCGCGGGATTCGAACACAAAACACTTAGTATTTGGAGAAAATCAGAGTAAATGTTCTTGGACCTGAGTAGTCGATTATAATTTGTCATCCAAGAAGTTGATGATCATCAATTACTACCGACAAAAGAATTGTAATCTAGGTTTTATAGCTTGATGAATCCCTTAAAAAGTAATCCAGTGATAATTCCACATGAAACTCCTAAAAGTTCGACATCTGTTATAAACGTATGTATTGCCGTCGCCAATTGTTATAATCGTAGAGAGAGAGAGGATGCTGGTTATAACTTTAGGGGTTTCTGGTTATAACAGTCCTTTTACTTCTTACACGTATGTGGGACGTTAATTTATCTTAGACGAATATCTACACTAGATTCCCACCCAGTGTCTATTCTACAGGACTTCAACAGAACTCAGATCAAGAACACAATATTAGCCTGACTATAACGTCAATATATTTCACACCAAAATCCGACACATGGAACAGTCAATAAGTTCATACATAATAAGGATAGGGAAATATATATATATAACACATAACACCTGTCATCCCCTCTAATGTCTGACTCATCGAGACAACCAATCATTGACATTCTCGCCCACACATCACCACCCTCGCGAAGTTCGATCGTATGATTCCACTTTGGAGTCTATTTGAAAAAATTTCGTTTGTTTCCGTTTCCTGAATGACCTTCGTCTAACTCCTGATTCTAGATCATTTTTTCTCATTTCAACTTGTGGTGGTGGTGGTGGAATATCAAATGTATCACATAATACTTCCATTGGTAATGGTTTGAGTTTAGATGACTCATAAACACATTTTCTATCTCGCAGTTGATTTACATGTCTAATAATTAGTGTATTTTCGACCATCACTTCATATAATACTGTACCACGTCGTTTTTTTATAAACCCAAATATCCATTTTGGCATGCCAGGCCGGAAATCCCGTGCATAGATTGAGTCACCTACTTTGAATTCTCGAATTTACAGGCAATTCCCTTTGTTATTTTTTTGTAGTCCACTGATTCTGTCTTTCGGGTTCAAAACATCAAAAAATGTTCTAATCGGTCGGCCAAACATTATTTCGGCTGGAGATTTCCCATCTTGACAGTTTGGACTTGGCGTAATTCTATAAGAAATGAGAAATTGTTGCAGAGCCTCTTCTACGTTGCCTTCTCCTCTCATCTTTAAGAGAGCTCGTTTAAGAATATCAACAAATTTCTCTGCCTGCCCGTTCGACTTAGGGTGATACGGTGGAGTTCTAACGTGTTCGATTCCATTCTGTTTACAGAACTCCGCAAACTCTAACGACGTGAACTGCGTCCCGTTATCTGAAACCAAAACATTAGGTGTACCAAACCTACCAAATAGTTGTCTCAGATGTAGCAGTGTTTCAGACGTAGATGGTCTTCGTACCACATAAATTTCAGGCCACTTCGAGTATGAATCAACCACCACCAAAAAATATTGCCCACTTATCGGTCCAGCATAATCAACATGTAGTCGGACCCAAGGCTTTTTCGTTTCTGGCCATGACTGGGATTCTGCTTTCGGCACATTCAACGGTAAATCCCACAAACCAAATATATCAATCCAATCAATACCTAATAGATTGATATTACAGTTCCCGGAAACGTAACATTTCCCGGTCATAGTCTTTTCACCAAACGTTAGAGGTAGCTGTATTACTCCAAGAAGAGTAATATTAGTTCCTGATGCACTCTTGGCATTATAACATGTAGGTTGATATCGGGGTCGACCAATTTTAATCCAAGTTTCTCTAGAAATTAATGTTATGTCAGACCCAGTATCGACTTGTAGTTTGACCGGTTTGCCATCGAAAAAGATGGTTACATACTTCCTTTTAGAGAAGAAATGCTCACTTTTTGTAGCCAGAACAACATTTGAGTTATGCGGTATTGATTTTGAAGTCTGCATCTTATTTCGTTTACGGAACTTATGCTCACGGTCAGAAACCTTCGGCCTACTTTTACAACATACTTGAGCATGACCATATTTACCACATTGAAAGCATACTCGTTTTTTAAAATAGCAAACATTGGCAGAATGACACTTACCACATCGCCAACATGACGTTTTGTGTTTCACTTGATTCGGGATTTTCTGGGAGTTCGAATCTTTATTTCCTTTAAAAGATTTACGTAAAGCATTAACTCCAACGTGTTCACTGTTCCTTTCTACGAGTTTCGTGTCATGCTTCAAATTAATCATTCTTTGACACTCTTCAGATACTGATTGTAGACTGATATTAGGATCTTGTTCGATTCTCGTTAGAATCCGTGCTCTAATATCTGCATCTACTGAAGATTGTAATCCACATACAAAAATAAGGCACTTGAACTGATCTGAGGACATTTCCTGTAGTCGGAACCGCTCACATTCCCGGTTCACGATACTTGCATACGTTACGTAATCGTCCTGTACTTTCTTTACAAGTTGAAGACACTGGTATCTAGTGTGAAAAATTGATGACCGTTCACCAAATATACGAGTCAGGCATTCAACTGTTTCTTTGAACGTTATGTCGGATGGCTTCTTTGGGAGGATAAAATTACAGAATTTTTCATGTTCGGACACTCCGAGCTTTCGTAATAATAATCTCAATTTCGAACTTTCGTCCCACTCTTTACATTCATTAATAAATAAATCCTCATGGCGTTTAAACCATGCCTCAAAAGTAACTCCACTTTCTGGATCAAATCTAAATTCAGTTATTGAATTTGCAATAGAATCCGGAGTCATAGTGGAATTAGACACATTCGTTCTTGAGGAAATTGACATATTCTTGATTAATAATTCGATTAAAGAATTTTGCTGTTGCAACAAGGTTTTCAGATCATCCATTTTTGTTACAAAATTCACTTTAATTGAATATGTAAGCGTAGATCCGTTTTAATCACCGTCGCCAATGTTATAAACGTATGTATTGCCGTCGCCAATTGTTATAAACGTAGAGAGAGAGAGGATGCTGGTTATAACTTTAGGGGTTTCTGGTTATAACAGTCCTTTTACTTCTTACACGTATGTGGGACGTTAATTTATCTTAGACGAATATCTACACTAGATTCCCACCCAGTGTCTATTCTACAGGACTTCAACAGAACTCAGATCAAGAACACAATATTAGCCTGACTATAACGTCAATATATTTCACACCAAAATCCGACACATGGAACAGTCAATAAGTTCATACATAATAAGGATAGGGAAATATATATATATAACACATAACACCTGTCATCCCCTCTAATGTCTGACTCATCGAGACAACCAATCATTGACATTCTCGCCCACACATCAACATATTACTTCAATTTAGCAAGCCTGATGCATAGAGAAAGAGAATGTCTAGGTGTGTTGGGAACGTCTAAAAACACCTTAATTCATGTGGATTAACAAGGGATTTTTGTTTATCACTTATCAGGTCAACATAGGAGTTATAATACAAGTCAAATATAAACACAACTAATGAGATTATCAGGAGGAATTTTCTAAACATGGAGTTATTCTCAGAAGTTTGTGTTTGGCAAACTTTGTCTGAAAATCTAGAATTTTATCCAAAGAAATACCATAAACTAATATTCATTGAACTAAATGGTGAACGCAAAATCTAAATAATCGTAAGATATAAAGAAGAGTGGTTCTTCATAAAATAACAATATAATTAGAACTTACGGTACTTCAGGTCCAACAAAATATGGTGTCACAGGCTTTTGATATGTTGGGCAATATTTTACAAGAAGTGTTTGACATTTATGAAGTTCCTGTGTACGCTCATACAAAGAGTTTTCAGGTAACGCGACCTGAGTAAAATATACGTACAATGATGTTAAGTTGTTTTATTATGTCAACCAATAAAAATGAATGCTTCAAATAAAAATCTATTTAACAAAATTCAACTGACCTGTTCATCTAATCCTTCAATAGTTGCTTTTAAATTTGCACGTTCTACAGTTGCATGGGATAAGCGTTTTTTCAAAGTAAGAAACTCTGCATTACTTGCCTTCAACTGATCCATAGCCATAATCGCTTCCTCTTCAGCTCCTTTTACTCTCTGTAACAACTGAGAATGTAACGAATCTTCACTAACACTTTGGTTCAAACTAACGAAGTTATCATGCTTTAATTCACTAATTGAATGAAGTATCGAATTTTGATAACTATTTATTACTGCTTCATTGTTATTTTCCATTAATGATACTGGCATGGACTTATTGGATACATGAAGATTACTGAACTGAATCTCACTTAAGATGCGTGGTTTTTTTGCACTACCGTATTTTAAACTTTCATCAACTAAAATTTCACCGGATGAAGTTATGTCATTGCCTGCCACCAGTTAAAACAAACAAGAACAAAAACTATAAATAAATATATGATAACTATGCATAAAGCAAAGGTTGAATCTCAGTGAAGCAGTTTATCTGAGAAATCTCATCGTCATACCAGCTAAATATGAAAGGTAGCACAACAATCGATTAATTATTCTTAAAATACTAACAACTGTGAGTCTAACTCAAATACTATTTAGTTAGTTGTAGCTAACGAGAAGTCAGGTGGGGAAGATCAATTTATTATTGAATGCAAAAATTACCGAGTATCTTCGTAAAACATGAAAACCATATGTTAAAAACGTCATTTGAACATCTTCCATCAGTTGTCTTTTACAAACTTTATCGTCCCTTTATTCCAGTTTTTATTAGAATTACCGTCTTTTTACATTCCTGTTCTCTTCAATTCGACCTTCTCAGTCTTATGCTGCCAGGCATTCCGCTTCCGACTAGTGTTACATACTACTTATGTCTATTGACGTGAGCAGCAAACACCACAAGTATTCAGATTTCTTTCCTTTGTAAAGATAAATGCAAACAAATGATAACTGGAGTATATACCCAGTTTGAATATATAAACATGTAAACAGGCTTAACTCTAATACCGTTAGGATATCGACAAGAAAAATGACAATTAAGTGCATAGATCAAACGATCATTTTCATCATTAAATTATTATCGCCTACTGATTTCCCTAATTATGGAACATTTATAATAGTGGTCAGAATGTTTCAAGTTGTGCAGACTGCAGAAATTAATGAAAGATATAGTCCGTAAAATGAAATAACAAAAACCAGATAACGGGAGGATTGAACGTCTAAAACTTACCTATTTTCCTGTTTGACGCACTTTTAATTATATTTACGTAATAGTCTATTGAGTCCAAATCTTAGGCTATGCAGTCAGAACACAATGCTGTGAGTTTCTATAGTGTATGCCTTAAAACCTAATACATGGAGTAATATATAGTTATTCGGTTCCTTTTTTCGTTGCTTTAATCTTTAAAAAGTGTCGCATTAACGTATTGGGCAGTTCCAGTAAGTAATCATTTTAAAATGGTGAAATAAAAAATATTAGTAAACCGTGCGAGGAAGGAATCCATAGTTCAAAAGAATAAACTTGACAGAATTATTACAAAAACACAGGAGAGTACAAGCCCTCTTATAAGTAAGACGAAGCAACTTGTATTATTTATCTGTCAGTAAGGAAACACTATAACAAACGTTTCATACCATTAAACTAACGCTAAGAGATTAACACAACAAACTAACAATTGAGAAGCAAGAGACGGATAAGCGTGAGATCAAACCAGTCACTAGACACAAACAAATTACAACATATTTAAATCTTATAAATCACAAACCTCGCATATTTTGGTCCAAAGAACTAGTGTTTAGATTTGTTTTACTGAAGAATAATTTGAACTGTTCTAATGAAGCAGTTGTTTTAGCTAATTGATTACGCAAACGAGTAATTTCCATATAGTCTCTACGTTTTTGTGCTTCATAATTTTTTTGATGATGACGAATAGCATCTACACTGGAATCCAGTTCAGTTCCCATATGATCTAATCGTTTTTGCAGCTGATCAATACGTGTTCTTTGATTTATACGATATTTTTTTAAACGATCCACTTGACCAAGTGCATTCAATAAAGCTTCTTGTAATTCACACTTCGTTGGTTCATCGGGTTCAGAAAAACTAGAATGTTTCAATGTACGATTGAGAACATTTCTTGGATTAACCAGTCCATATTTTAATAACTAAAAGTGAAGTAGTGAAAAATGATTTATATATTCAACGAATCAAAATATTTTATGAATAAACTGGTACCTAACGATTAAGTGTTAATCCGTTGCCAATCGGATGCATCCCATACTTGATGACATGAAGAATTTCATAAAAGTGAACAACAAATGACTATGAATACATAAGAACTGACAGTAAAGTTTTCTTGTATTAAATATTATTTTTAGAAACCAAAATCCAAGATGTTAAACTGATGATTATAGCTTTTCTCATAAGGAATAACCACCTTGCTTTAAAATTCGTTCCAAGTGTTTTTGATCTGTGATACATCTCTAATCCCAACCACTCTTCGCATTATTTTAAATCGAGGATTATTGTAATATGTCATTTTCACGTTCTGCGGACATCCGATTCACATACAGACACATACGCTTCTTAACCTGCAACGTGAGTCATATAACTAGGGGTGGCTAGGAAGTTGCCAATGGAAAACCGAATGGTGGACGCAAATTATGGATAGATATACATCTGTCCTTTTCATTCAGACCTTGACTAGGTGTATAAAAAGGCATCAAACAATAGCGTCTCAAAATTTATCACCTCGCATTTGAGCACAGGAAAATGATACATAAGAACTCAACCAGTTAATCAGTTATTAGCAAACAACAAGTCAGGAAAAAACAACTATATGACAATCAAGAAGGATTTATTAATGAAGTTGTTAAGAAAAACTTCTTACAGTTTCGTATCTAATTTCTCCTGGATTTTTAAATCCATTAGGCTTTGGATTGGAAAACGTCTGCTGACTAATTTGTTCATTATTTGATATAAAGTCAGTTTGAACAGCATTGTGCTTAGCAGTTTCAAGTGAATTTCGAGCTTTGATTTTGCATTGTTTAATGCGCTCTTCTAGTTTTTGTTGGAATGCATAAATAACTTTCAAATCATCTGAGGCATCATGTTCATGGGATAACAAGAGAGACTGAATATGTCTTAATTGACCATGTGTTGATGTTACGTTGGAACATATGTCTGAAATACTAGGATGTGGATTAAGTTGGGATAAAGTTGACAAAGTAACAGAAAGTGAATCACCACACTGGTTCAAATTATTTAATAATTGTACTAGTTGAAAATGACCTGTTGAAAGACGATTACATAACAGAGAAACAATTCGATTGCAAGCACTTAATTGTAACTCTAAATCTCCGACTGAAGACAATTCACCACTATTCATAGCCTCCAATTGAGATTCAAATTGCTGACATAAAGAAACAGTCAAATAGTAATGATAACAAGGTAGAGTTTTCTCAAAGACAAAATCTACAATCATCAAATGTTATTATAATTGAATCATATTACTAATTAAAAGAAATAATCCACGCTGCACAATAGAACAGTATGATAAGTGGATTGCCCAGATCAAAACGAAAATTAATTAGTGCAACAGACAAAAAATAAGAGATAAAAAATGAAAGGGTTACTTCTTCACTATGCTTGAGTATCAGTGAAGACGAAAGTTCCCTATCTATTTATTCATTTTAAAAGTTAACTGTATACCCAAAGACCTACTAATTGTTTTCAACATTTACATCAAACATGAAAATTGAATAAATCTAGTACAATGTTTGCTTACCTCTGTCATGTATTTGACCTAGGCTGTAGCCGATTGTGAACGCTATATTTGCTTGCCTAAGCTAGTTCCGTACCCACGAGCTAGAACTATACACCGACTTGAAGACCAAAGAGAAGGCACAAAGCGTGTGGGAAGCGCTTTACTACAGGATTCATTTATGTACAGAAAATACAGGAATTTTATAGTATTTAAGGGACCTTGAGGTTCCATAGTAGCAGTGTGTTAAACAGCCAATCAGGATCTCGTTATTTTAGTAGCATAGCTTCTATTAACCGCTGATTGGTTGGGACTCTTTATGAGCCTCTGGAGGCTCTGATAGAGCTTACTGTAAGCCAACTTAACATTTCCCTTTTTTTGAAGATTCGATTCTGATTTTAAAAAATTATCTGTAATTTGACAATTCCCCAACATTTTCCTCCCCCACGAAATAATGTTGGATCTTCATATCTCCAATTTACAATTAATATGACTTTATTTTTTTGCCCCCAAATGCCCTGGTACGGCCGAGAGTGGGGAGAGTCTACTCTCCCTCTCGAAATGCTCTCATATGGCCAGCGAATATATAGCCTCTGCCAGGGAAGTCCTACTCACTGCCTTCTCGTGGCGGGGGTGTTGTTTACGAAAGTGAGAGGACGAAAAGCGAATGTCCGGCGCTATAACCGGATTGGTGGACACGAAGGGTCCACCTAGGGGAGTTGGAAAACCCTGATTCCAAACTAATGGTGCACATGGGCTCCAGTTTCCTGATGGAACGAATGGCGGAAGAACCTGTCATTGGTCAACGACTACCATGGGACTGCATCTCCTCACGATGCTCCACTGCCTTGTGGATCAGACCTTTAGGTCAAAGGCTCCGGGTGTGGCCCCCTAAGAAAACCACCTGCTTCGGTTTGGGCACCCGGGCAGTATCACAGCCCACACACAAATGAATGAAATGACGAACTCTATTGACGATTCTATTCCTGGTCATATTATAAGCAAGACAATTAACATTATTATTATTACCTTTATTATTATTATTATTATCATTATTATTACTTACCATATCGCTAACTCACCCCCTTTTACCCCCAATTTGTGTAACCTTACTCTTCAACTTATGCAGCAGCTCGCTGTTGGTGGAAAATCTGTCCTATCTAAACGATCTCCAGTCACTGTCTGGTTGAAAGTGAATGCTTCCACCGATAATGAATACTGAGGCAGTCTTTCTGAAACCACGTACGCCGTTCAAGCTGGCTTCCTTCAACGTTCGCACACTAATGCATATCAGACAACAGATAGGGCTGGCTATGTCTTTGGAAGGTCTTAATGTTGATGTTTGTTGTCTATCCGAGACCCGTATTCAAGACTCTAGTGAAGTACTACAAATCCGCTCTCCATCTGTCGCCTCGAAAAGCTTGTTTCACGTGCGCTTATCCGGGGACCCTGTGGCATCTTCGTCTGGTCTTGCTGGTGTTAGTGTCGCACTAAGCGCTAGGGCTGAGGCAGCGCTAATCGATTGGATCCCCATTAACAGTCGGTTATGTGCTGTTAGATTAGAAAGTTCCATCAAAGTGAGAAGAAACCGGCGTGAGAAACGGTGTCTTTTCGTCATCTCCGCCTATGCCCCGACAGATTGCAGCCCGGATGCAATCAAGGATGAGTTTTACCATCAGTTAACAGTTCTTCTCCAGAAAGCGCGTTCGACAGATATTGTAGTACTATCCGGAGACTTGAATGCACAGGTCGGGCGTCTAGGCACAGAAGAGAGTCGTCTAGGTGGCCGATGGGGACTTGTTGGTCGCCGGACAGATAACGGGGACCGTTTGCTGCAACTGTGCACAGACCACAATCTGTTTCTGGCCAGCACTAACTTCCGGCACAGTCATCGCCGGTGTGCCACCTGGCGTCCTCCCTCTGCATCCCAAGCCTGGACTCAGATTGATCACATCGCGATCAGCTACCGCTGGCATGGTTGTGTACAAGACTGCCGCTCCTTTTGGAGTACCTATCTGGAGTCTGATCATGCCCTGGTCTGCGCCAATCTCACCTTACTTTTCAGTGGCCGAAGGATTGACCACCACCAACGGATTGATATTAGTAAACTGGCTGCAACTCCTGTTGCAAGTAAGTATCGAGCGGAGCTAGCCTCTAGGCTAGCTACCACCCCACCGAAAAGTATAGATGAGCATTGGTTGCATCTTCACGACGCCATGAAAATGGCGAGTAAAGCCGCTTGCGGCTTCGCGAAACGTCCCGCTTACAAGCACTGGGTTTCTTCTGGCTTCTTACAACTGATCGAAGCCCGTCGGTCTACTCCGGGTGACCGTGAGTTTGACCACAAACGAAGGCTGTTAAGTAATGAAATTGGGCAAAGCTTGCGTAAGGACCGGGAAGCCTGGTGGTCGGAGCGTGCTAATGAGATGGAAGCAGCAGCTGCATCTGGTAACTGCCGGAAGCTCTTCCAACTCATCCGAGCCACTGGCAGCAAGAAGTCTGGTGTGAGTGAAACAATCTACGAGGATGATGGGATGCCAATCACTAACATCTCCCGACGTCTTGGACGATGGGCGGAATTTTTCGAAGGACAGTTCAACTGGCCTGCTGCTCCGGCAACATCAACCAGCTTGTCCTGCCCCCCATGGCCGGTGACGACTGATCCACCAAACGAGGTGGAAGTCCGCAAGGAACTCCAACTCTTGAAGCGCTACAAATCACCTGGCCCAGATGACTTACCTCCGGCTCTTTTTAAAGATGGTGGCGACTTTCTGACTAAGGAATTGACTGTGTTGTTTGGAAAGGTTTGGGAGCAAGAAAGTGTTCCAACATCATGGAATGAGTCAATAGTCGTCCCTATCTTTAAAAAGGGTTCGCGTTGTTCCTGCAATAACTATCGGGGGATAAGTCTACTTCCGATTGCGTCCAAACTATTGGCTTCTATCATTCTTCGTAGGTTGTTTAAAACCCGAGAACGATTGACTCGCGAGGAGCAGGCTGGTTTTCGTTCTGGTCGAGGATGCATTGATCACATCTTCACCCTCCGCCAAATGTTAGAACACCGTCATACTTATCGCAGGCCAACAATCGTAGTGTTTCTTGATATCAGGGCTGCCTTCGATTCGTTGGACAGGACTGTTCTCTGGGATTGTCTATTGAAGAAGGGTGTGCCTGAGAAGTTCATTAACATCTTAAAGGCCCTGTACACGAACACCTCAGGCAGAGTGAGGGCATACAACCACCTTTCTCCCTTGTTCCATTCGAGCAGTGGGGTTAGGCAGGGTTGCCCGATATCACCATTCCTCTTCAACTTTGCCATCGACGACATCTTGGAAACAGCTTTGATGGATGTAAGTAATGGCGGTGTGGATATGTTGCCTGGAGAACGACTTCTTGACCTCGAGTATGCGGATGATATTGTCTTACTGTGCGATAATGCCCAAGGCATGCAATCAGTGTCCGCAGGTACGGCATGTGCTTTGCACCCTCCAAGTGCAAAGTACTTCTACAAGACTGGCAGGATTCTAATCCTGTACTCACCCTGGATGGTGAGCAGATCGAAGTAGTTGAGAAGTTCGTGTATCTAGGTAGCTATATAAGTGCTGGTGGTGGCGTGAGTGATGAGATTGGTGCACGTATAATGAAAGCCAGAGCGGCTTATGCCAATCTGGGCCATCTTTGGCGCCTTCATGATGTTAGTCTGGCTGTAAAAAGTCGGATTTACAACGCGTCGGTGAGAGCAGTTTGGCTCTATGCTTGTGAAACCTGGCCTCTCCGAGTTGAGGATGTTAGACGTCTCTCTGTGTTCGATCATCGTTGTCTCCGAAGGATTGCTGACATACAGTGGCAACACCATGTTAGTAATGCAGAGGTTCGGCATCGTGTGTTCGGGCACAGAGACGATAATTCAATTGGTGTCACCATCTTGAAACACCGACTTCGGTGGCTTGGACATGTTTTACGAATGTCGTCCCAGAGACTTCCACGTCGTGCATTATTTGCCGACCCTGGGACTGGTTGGAAAAAGCGGAGAGGAGGTCAGTGTATGACATGGTGTCGTGGCATGAAAGAGAGCTGCAAAGGGCTAGCTTCTGTTGGTCCTTCACGACTCCTTGGTTGGGGTCCGAGAGATGGTGCAACACAGTGGCTAGAGACGTTATCAGATATGGCTCAGAATAGAAACCAGTGGCGATCCTGCTGCAACCTTCTTTTACTTTCTACATAAAGTATGGTTCTTACTTTCCTATTTGAAAGAGTCTTCTGGTTGTACATTTTAGTCCGCCTTATCTTTCATCCCTTCTCTTCCTACTTTCATTATTTTGTGTGGCGCATATGTACCTGGTGCCCTTTTGTACCAATATATATGTGTTTAAATAAATAAATAAATAAATAAATAAATAAAATGACTTTATTTAGAACACATTTCTCGTATTGAATGCAGAATCCACTAGAAATGAATAGATGATGATGAACGATATTTGATTTCAGGTCATCGGAATTTGGCTTTTCTGAAACATCTCCCTCAAATTCATTAAGATTTTCACTAGAGGATATTAAATAACTAGAGGAATCGGCGTCTAATAAAATTGCATTAGATTTTTGATCACCATCTGATTCGACCGACTTATTTTTCTCATCTTAATAAGAATTTTCATCAAAATTATGTGCATAATTACGCGAACCCATATCTGGTAAATTGACATGAGAAATTAAATATGAAGCTGATTCATTATAAGCTTTTGTCTCCCGATGATTTTGAATTACATTTGGCACAATTTGTTTCACTGTACTGTTCCAGTTATTTTCTGGATATGCGTCCTTCCAGTTTTCTTGGCCAATATCACGAAAAATGTAGTTCTGTTCTGACTGAAGTTTGTCTTCAGAGATGGGAGGATTTAATAGTGTTTCATTTGACTCTAAACTCAGGGCTTTGTCTACGGAACCTTCTTTTTCTTGCTCATCTGATACTGTCACAGTTTCATGTGCATTTGGCAAGATATTGTCTTGCTCTGAACCGGCCAACTTACCCATTTCGCCTTTTTCATCAGGTATGAAGGGAATTGAACCCTCAACTGGGCGTTCTTCTGAGATGGCCATTTTCGCACCATTATCTGCATTACAAATAAATTCTTTATTTCTTGAAATATTTTGTTTAGTGAAAAACATGTCCAAAACTGTTTCAAATAGTTGCTGCTGGAAGGCTAACATCTGCTGATGCTGGTGCTCTAATATTATCTGCAACTGTTCTAGAGAAATCGTCATTTTTTTACTGCTAATAATAATAATAACTCCAAAAACCCGCCGGTAATTTATTACAGTTTATTTATTTCCAAAATACGTCACCGACAGTTGTATTTTTTTCAGAATCCCCGTCGCCAATTTGTTATATCTGGCCGGTTGTGAACGCTAAATTCGCTTCCCTAGGCTAGTTCCGTACCCCCGAGCTAGAACTATACACCGACTTGAAGACCAAAGAGAAGGCACAAAGTGTGTGGGAAGCGCTTTACTACAGGATTCATTTATGTACAGAAAATACAGAGGTTTTATAGTAGTAGTCTGCATCTCGGATACTCAGAGAGGTGGATGTCATTAAATGCATTAATATCCTGTTCATCTTCTCTTTACGATTCAAGGGCTTGTGACAGGGCAAATCGACGGTAGAACATCCTATAAGAAATTTATTAGCGTATGAACTTCATACACGTACCATTATCTTCCAGAAGCCTTTCATTGGCACAGCTTGTGGAAGGTAATACAGTTGAAGAAATTTCATGACAATTACTTTCTCTGTCAACTGACATAGTTTCTACATATATAGGTGGTAAAGTCAGTTACCTGTAGTTGTGCTTTCAATAGCAAAGTTACTAAAAGAAAGCAAGTCATGTCTCAGAAAATCGGTACGTAATTTATTCCAACGTCTGCTATAAGTAGATCTATGACATCCGAGGACTCTTGACAAGTTCACGGTTGCCCTACGTCTACGAGCTCTTTCACTGACTTGGCTTAAACTCATGTTATAAGACTAACAACGTAAACAGTTAGAAGGAACCAAAAAAACAGAGAGCACGTCACTCACTTGCATCGCGTAAGTATTTTGTGATGGCGGCCAACCATGTCGGAACAGCTTAGCTAAACAACAGAAAAAGTAAGTACAAATGCATCACATACAAAAACCTGTGTCCGTATTTTATTGCATGAGAAATAATGATGATATTCATAAATTGTGACGACAGTATCACGCAACGGTATCTGTACAAGATAAATATTGCCTAATGATTCATTGATAACAATATTTCAACTCTTTCTATTCATCCTAATTTCATATAATTGTGCTGATATGTTGTGGACTGACAGAATCGTGCCATCACATAAGGGTTTATCACTAATAGATAACTACAACAGTATTTCCAAGTCAGAACAAAAACAGACTATTCACTAAAAAAACATTTACCCAAAAAGTTGCACTATTGAAATACGATTTTGCCAAAAGTTGTTGCCAAATATAGGTATTCGCAACTGCATTTCAAAGAACAACCAGCTCTCTAGGATGGTTTTCACAAATTTTCACCATTTCCTGAAATTCATAGAAAGGAACGAACTCCTCTTAAACTTCAACTAAAAATATCCAAACCCTAATGTAAGACCTAAATTTGAGCTAATCAAGGGAAAACAAGTCTTGAAGCTCTTAGAAGTGCGTCGACGTAACTATTCTATGACAGTGACTAGTATATTGAACGCAGATTATTGCTGAAATCGGTAGAATAATGATAAACTCCAATAAAGAATACCAAAACACCCTATCAATAGTTTGATAAATACCTCTGATTTGCTAGAATAACCAATATGACAAGTGTCCTCGCATTTGCCGTTCCACTGGTTGTGATCGAAATTGTCACCGAAAAATACGACAGATGAGGAGCACATTGTTATTGCATCAAAATGATGGGGAAGCGATCCTCAACCACGCATGGCACTGTGAAAAGGCACGTAAAAAAGTCAGAGCCCTTCAAAGTCGCCCGCCGTTCCGATTCGACGACCTTGAATGGCTTGACAAGAGGAGGTCATTCCGTATTTTAATTGCAGAGGGTCTGTTAGGTGTCGTTTGAGTTGCACGAATATCAGATTTTCTCATATGTAAGCGATATTTTTCTTCAGCAAAACCACAAAATCATCGCGAAGAACATTGATTTAGCTCTCTCTCTCTCTCTGCCTCGTAGTGCACACGTTGGACCGATTGTTGCTTCGTAACTTCTCAATCTCCCCATTTTGGGGGAAATTTTGTCTGCTTTGGGTAAATATATTATTCTATCTTAAGCATAAATGTGTTCTTCGGGAGTACTAAGTATCATCGGTAGTTGTCACGATACGAAGAGTCAGTGTGCACAGAGATACGAACTCCACGTAAGAGAAAAGTGGAAACATATCACAATGGCTCTTGACAAAAAAAGAATTCACATTAAATAATCAGAGAGATGATAACTAGAAATAATATATGGAGCGAAATATTGTACAGCGAAATAGAGAATAAAGAGTAAGAGAGAGAGTGACGAAGAAAATACAAAGATACTTACAATAACCAACAATGTAATAGCATTAGATGCACAAAAAAGAAATAGATCAAAAATATAAAAATAGGTTTAGGTCTAGGTTGACTTTGCAGACGAAGTGAAGTATGTTTTATACCACTAGATATTCTGGATGTTAGTTGTTGACTACGTACAACCAAAAGCTTCAATAAAACAGATAGCCAATCCTTTTGGTTAACTACAGTAAGGATAATAAAAATTAAATGGTATTATTGGGTAAACAAAGTAACTTTTAAATTCATTTAGTGGTTTGTTTGAATCTTCCTATCGATGTGTTAGGACTGCAACTGGTCAGTCTCCATTTAGGACTCGTCAGCTGGATGTACCCGCATCTCAGAGTTGATGTTCAATCTGGGACTCGAACCCAGTACCCTCGCTTCAAACGCCATCGCGTTATCCACTCGGCCACTGAGTCCTGATAGCCACTTTTAGTTATATTCAAGGTTACATAAACCGCACAATCTTAAGAAGAGAATAAACTTTAACACCAAAATAGGCAGCTAAACCTTTATTATAACTGGTAGTGTGATCAATGTTATGGACGGCTGTAAAATTCCTAACACGTTCAATATCATAAATTTTATTTCAGTAAACATAACATATCGAAGTAGACAATGATTTTACACTAGTAATACAAATGCTTCGATGAACTAAGACCCCGAAAGTGAACGATTTTTATCGACTAACCTATTATTCCTATTGTCTAAACCTGTGTTTTAAACCTGAATATTGTTCACTCGACGATGATATAAAAGGTTAATTATGGTCTATTTCAATATTCTAGTTTTGAAAAAAAATGATGAAGCAAACTGAATTGTTAGTTTGAGAAGGATTTAAGTCTATTTTTCCCTAGTATTAAGTTTGATGTGTAACACGAAACGACTGTCAAACAACATCACAGTTAGAATCTTCAGTACGAACGTCAAGACAGTTCTATTATACAGAGCTGAAACTTGGAGAACTACCACAACTATCATCATAAAGTACAAGTATTTATAAACGATTACCTCTGCAAGATGCTCAATACCCGTTGACTGGATACCATCAACAAACCAGCTTCCAGATGAAGAAACTAGGAAAACATGTTGGAGGGAGGATAGGGTTCAAATTGAGGAAATCATCAGACTACATCACGAGGCGAACCGGAACTTGGAATCCTTAAGGGGTAAAGAAAAGAGAAAACCCAAAAAAGCACTCTGCACCGAGAGTCGGAAACAGATATCCAAAGAATGAATAGCAACTGGAAAGGATTGTCCAGGACAGAGTTCAACGTAGAATGCTGGTGAGCTGCCTATGCTCCTCTATGAAAGGTAATAGGCGTAAGTAGGCTATACGAATTTACTGTGAAAAATAATAGTAAAACATCCTAACAATATTATAAAATGGCATACGCGTACAAGAAACTAATATGAGGTGAAACAGTCGATTTTATTTTTTAAATCTTACTGTTTGTTAATCGGTATCGAATCACCTTAAATTTTTTCAGTGGAGCAATGGTTTATTGGTTAAGGTATTTGAATTTCATCCACTAAGTGTCAGGTTGGAATCCCGCGCCCCAAGTACTTAAGTTTAGACAACTGGATGGTATCTCACTAGCTCTCACACTTGGAGTGTGGTTCATACCTAAGTACTGAGTGAATGAGTTCACTGATTTTGAAACTTTTCTGATAGTTCTAACATAATATAATAGTGCACTCAACATAAAAGTCATGCACAACATACAAAAATTAATCTATAATCTTTGCTGATAATTCAACTGTTATATAAATTACATTTACTCAAATAAAAGCTAATTCACACAAGTAGAATAAGTTATATTACAAGTATAATCAAAAATCTTACTTAATTGATATAAGAATTTGAATTTGATGGAAGGAGAACGTAGAAATGATTCTTTAGGTTCAAACGACTGAAGATCTCTCAAATTAAAAACTGCTGGTTCGCTTGTATAATTATTATTTGGCTCATGTATTTTAATAGATAATTCCGATGTCCTACAAAGAAATAACAAGCAAGAAACCATTCATATGATCTACACAATAATAAACGTATTGCAATTATCATTACCAAAGTTGAACTTGATAATTTCAAATAAATTGAGCATGGAGTAGATTGTTATAAACAAAAATAATATGTTTGTAATAACCCAATGGGTAGAGAAATTAGATTTCCTGATGTTTTGTGATTCAGTATAAGCCACTTCTTCTTCTTCTTCAGAGAAGTGGCTTCAACTCACATTCCTAGTGTAAGCCCCAGTGATACAATTCGAGTCCAAAAATTTGAATGTCTTACATAAAAAGCCACTGAGTTATATTCAATAATATACACGTAATACAGATGTGTAAATGTACTGGTAGTTGACATCTTACAAAAATTTTAAACTTGCTACTGAAATTCACGAGTTCATATCCATTGGAAATCTTAAGACTGGCTTAAGTGAAGTAGAATAAATTAGGAAAACAGTTATCAGATATTCGGATATTTAGTAATTTAATAGTTGAATTCATGAGTCAATCAAAGCTAGACCACCTTGGAAAACCTGGAACCACTGAATGGACGTTTATTCCAGGTAATGGGACTCCTCAGCAATACGCATCCACGATCCCACTCGCGGGATTCGAACACAAAACACTTAGTATTTGGAGAAAATCAGAGTAAATGTTCTTGGACCTGAGTAGACGATTATAATTTGTCATCCAAGAAGTTGATGATCATCAATTACTACCGACAAAAGAATTGTAATCTAGGTTTTATAGCTTGATGAATCCCTTAAAAAGTAATCCAGTGATAATTCCACATGAAACTCCTAAAAGTTCGACATCTTACTTCAATTTAGCAAGCCTGATGCATAGAGAAAGAGAATGTCTAGGTGTGTTGGGAACGTCTAAAAACACCTTAATTCATGTGGATTAACAAGGGATTTTTGTTTATCACTTATCAGGTCAACATAGGAGTTATAATACAAGTCAAATATAAACACAACTAATGAGATTATCAGGAGGAATTTTCTAAACATGGAGTTATTCTCAGAAGTTTGTGTTTGGCAAACTTTGTCTGAAAATCTAGAATTTTATCCAAAGAAATACCATAAACTAATATTCATTGAACTAAATGGTGAACGCAAAATCTAAATAATCGTAAGATATAAAGAAGAGTGGTTCTTCATAAAATAACAATATAATTAGAACTTACGGTACTTCAGGTCCAACAAAATATGGTGTCACAGGCTTTTGATATGTTGGGCAATATTTTACAAGAAGTGTTTGACATTTATGAAGTTCCTGTGTACGCTCATACAAAGAGTTTTCAGGTAACGCGACCTGAGTAAAATATATGTACAATGATGTTAAGTTGTTTTATTATGTCAACCAATAAAAAATGAATGCTTTAAAGAAAAATCTATTTAACAAAATTCAACTGACCTGTTCATCTAATCCTTCAATAGTTGCTTTTAAATTTGCACGTTCTACAGTTGCATGGGATAAGCGTTTTTTCAAAGTAAGAAACTCTGCATTACTTGCTTTCAACTGATCCATAGCCATAATCGCTTCCTCTTCAGCTCCTTTTACTCTCTGTAACAACTGAGAATGTAACGAATCTTCACTAACACTTTGGTTCAGATTGACGAAGTAATCATGCTTTAATAAAGTTGATAAAGTAACAGAAAGTGAATCACCACACTGGTTCAAATTATTTAATAATTGTACTTGTTGAAAATAACCTGTTGAAAGACGATTACATAACAGAGAAACAATTCGATTGCAAGCACTTAATTGTAACTCTAAATCTCCGACTGAAGACAATTCACCACTATTCATGGCCTCCAATTGAGATTCAAATTGCTGACATAAAGAAACAGTCAAATAGTAATGATAACAAGGTAGAGTTTTCTCAAAGACAAAATCTACAATCATCAAATGTTATTATAATTGAATCATATTACTAATTAAAAGAAATAATCCACGCTGCACAATAGAACAGTATGATAAGTGGATTGCCCAGATCAAAACGAAAATTAATTAGTGCAACAGACAAAAAATAAGAGATAAAAAATGAAAGGGTTACTTCTTCACTATGCTTGAGTATCAGTGAAGACGAAAGTTCCCTATCTATTTATTCATTTTAAAAGTTAACTGTATACCCAAAGACCTATTAATTGTTTTCAACATTTAAATCAGACTTGAAAATTGAATAAATCTAGTACAATGTTGGCTTACCTATATATTGTGACGACAGTATCACGCAACGGTATCTGTACAAGATAAATATTGCCTAATGATTCATTGATAACAATATTTCAACTCTTTCTATTCATCCTAACTTCATATAATTGTGCTGATATGTTGTGGACTGACAGAATCGTGCCATCACATAAGGGTTTATCACTAATAGATAACTACAACAGTATTTCCAAGTCAGAACAAAAACAGACTATTCACTAAAAAAACATTTACCCAAAAAGTTGCACTATTGAAATACGATTTTGCCAAAAGTTGTTGCCAAATATAGGTATTCGCAACTGCATTTCAAAGAACAACCAGCTCTCTAGGATGGTTTTCACAAATTTTCACCATTTCCTGAAATTCATAGAAAGGAACGAACTCCTCTTAAACTTCAACTAAAAATATCCAAACCCTAATGTAAGACCTAAATTTGAGCTAATCAAGGGAAAACAAGTCTTGAAGCTCTTAGAAGTGCGTCGACGTAACTATTCTATGACAGTGACTAGTATATTGAACGCAGATTATTGCTGAAATCGGTAGAATAATGATAAACTCCAATAAAGAATACCAAAACACCCTATCAATAGTTTGATAAATACCTCTGATTTGCTAGAATAACCAATATGACAAGTGTCCTCGCATTTGCCGTTCCACTGGTTGTGATCGAAATTGTCACCGAAAAATACGACAGATGAGGAGCACATTGTTATTGCATCAAAATGATGGGGAAGCGATCCTCAACCACGCATGGCACTGTGAAAAGGCACGTAAAAAAGTCAGAGCCCTTCAAAGTCGCCCGCCGTTCCGATTCGACGACCTTGAATGGCTTGACAAGAGGAGGTCATTCCGTATTTTAATTGCAGAGGGTCTGTTAGGTGTCGTTTGAGTTGCACGAATATCAGATTTTCTCATATGTAAGCGATATTTTTCTTCAGCAAAACCACAAAATCATCGCGAAGAACATTGATTTAGCTCTCTCTCTCTCTCTGCCTCGTAGTGCACACGTTGGACCGATTGTTGCTTCGTAACTTCTCAATCTCCCCATTTTGGGGGAAATTTTGTCTGCTTTGGGTAAATATATTATTCTATCTTAAGCATAAATGTGTTCTTCGGGAGTACTAAGTATCATCGGTAGTTGTCACGATACGAAGAGTCAGTGTGCACAGAGATACAAACTCCACGTTCACTTCACTTGTTGTCGAACAGTTGATTCATGTCTTCTTATGTTTCTTCTCTCGATTTTGTATCAGACAACCTGAAGAGATCCATTGTTTATGACGGTGCTCCTTCTGACCTAGAATAGTGTATGTTCAAGTGATCGCAGTTATAAATCCAGATAAGGAATCACCAGCGTAGTTTTCTGGTCCATATTTTACTAGTTCTATTTTAAGTGCAGTGAATATATTTTCGACTGTTCTTTAAAAGTTTTAATGTCAGGATAAGAAACGGAATATCCACAGCTCTTTATTTATACATGCTGAAAGAGATAATTAGATGATAACTTAAGTTGTCAAGTATTCTGTAATAGTCTTTTTCCAAACTCTTAGAACATAAACTATAACTGACCACACAAAGCTAACCGTGCGATTAAGAACCAAGTAGCGACGACAACAAACGACAAGACTCGATGTGCAACAAAGGAATGCTGCATAATACAGAAATGTTTAGCGCTGAGCCAAATAATAATTATAGGTAATATACACATTTGACCTTCACACCTAGAGGTGTGATGAGTTTAGACTAATACAATCTCTCCTGAAAGAGTACCCCTTGTATTTTATTCGAGTGAGTGCATATCATACGTACCTCGTTAGTTTCAGTCAGTCTGTCAGCTACAATGTAGGACCAGGCACACATATGCATCGGTCCAAGTTGCCATCAGCACAACAAGATCAACACCAAATTCCTAGAAGTAGTTAAATTAATGGTTGTAATATATAAAAGTAAGATTGTATATAAGGATATGGTATAGGAAGAAAGACAGATGTGAGGCAGTTTCAATCTCAAGGTTTAAGGGAAGATAAAGAGTGTATTTACCTACGCCATTGTGATCGATTCTGAGCCATGTCACACAGTCTCCAACTATTGATTGCGATAGTCACATGGACCCCAACCAAGAAGTCTGCATCTACCAATATACCTTAGACTAAAGGTTAGTGACTTCATGCTCTGATGCCACATTTTGGTTTGGCCGTTCCTAATTTTACTTTTTGGACGTGGCCTACAGTTTTTCTTTTTCTAGGTTTCTCACTGAGCTAGATGGATTATCTTTTATTGGAATTACAGAAAATAACTTAATTCTGATCTGTTCACTTTTAGGCTGCAAATTCTATGCTATACGATCGGATCTTAATTTTAACTTTTTGATGGTATTGTAGCTGTAACTAATTCCCCAAAATCAATAGTTCATTAAGTGTTCGACATTGGATGCTGACCATGTTGTTTAAGTGGACTTGTTTAGCTGAAGGCTTTCGGTCATGCATCCGCACCAGATCACGTTTCAACACGGCGTGGAACACAGCTCCTACGTTTCATTAGCCAGCTCAAAGAAAAGGTCCTCGATATATTGGTAATGAATCAAATATATCTTTCCTGCCTCTTCTCGTCTGACTTCTGATTTCTATCTGACTGGGAACGATCAAATATAGAAGGTGCTACTGGTAGCTAGTTGTAAAACTAGAATATCCGTTGCATCATAATTGGTGAGACCGACGTGATCTGGTACACCAAGTCAATATACTGTGAGTCTGTTCCATTTTGGAATATTATTATTCATTGTTATTCTTTATTTGAATTTTATATATTGTGATATACTTTTTTTCGCGAATTTTTTTCTCGGGTATATTTTACTTAGACATTTTTCGTTATCTGTATTACTATGACGGGACACTCTCCTAAGGTTCTTAAGTTTAAGTCTATTCCCCCTATTTCGATTCAGTTAACGCCATTTTGGCCCGACAATATCGAGTCCTGGTTCTGCTACGCAGAAGCCGATTTTAGCATGCACGGAATCACGGACTCGCGCACACGTTTTCTCGCGGTAGTTAAGGCGTTACCGCGCGAGTTTAACAGGTACGTAACACCTAGTATGTTTACTAGTGATGTTCCCGAACCTTACGAAACGCTTAAGCTATCGATTTTAAAACGCGGAGACCTAAATGATCGACAAGGGTTTGACCAACTCTTCCATAACATCGACTTGCAACATGGTTCTGCGACGGACATGTTGCTTAGAATGAGAGGAGTCATCGGCCAACGAACTTTCGATGATGGCCTATTTAGACAACTTTTCTTGTCTAAACTCCCTCAACAGGTGCAGGCAGTGCTTGTTTCATTTCAAAACAATGCCATAGATGAACTAGCTGCATCTGCCGATCGAATCTTGGAAATCACTAGAAGTTTTCCAGAAATTGCAGGAAACCTTGCAATTATCCGACTTCAAAATCGACTGACGCGAATAAGATTTCGGGAAACTTCCCAGCCGGCACGCGTTAACGGCAACCGTAACCGGCGAACACAGCCGTTTGTTATACGTCACGGATGTGACTACGAAAGTTCGCTACCTCGTCGACACTGGCGCAGAAGTTAGCGTTCTTCCAGCAAATCCCGACGACAGACTTCGCGAGTCTGTTTTAAGTTTACAGGCGGCAAACGGAAAGCCGATCGCTACTTACGGTAAAAGGTACGTCTACCTTAACGTGGGTTTACGCAAACCCATACACTGGATTTTCGTGGTTGCAGATGTCTCTATGCCAATCATTGGTATAGACCTGTTACAACACCACAATCTACTCATCGACACACGCTCACGAAAGTTAATAGGCGGAAACACTAAGTTATCTGTTAGCGTAACTCCTTGTTCCGGTTGCAGGTTATCCTCAGTCACGATTAAACACGCCATAGACCCATTGTACCAATCAGTACTCGACAAATACCCCGGGATATACCAATCGCAATCGAAATTACCTTGTGTAACCAGCAATGTTGCACATCACATCTCGACTACAGGACCACCTGTATTTTCGAAAGCTCGAAGACTCACTCCCGAGAAGCTTAAGTTAGCTAAAAACGAATTCGACCACATGATGGACCTAGGGATAATTCGACCATCGAATAGTCCATGGGCATCCCCATTGCACATGGTCCCTAAAAAGGACAGCAATGATTGGCGGCCAACTGGTGATTATCGGCGTCTGAATGCTAAAACCATTCCCGATCGTTACCCGCTGCCTCATATTCACGATTTGACAGCTACCTTGAAAGGTACAACTGTCTTTTCGAAAATCGACTTGGTTAAAGCTTATAACCAAATCCCGATGGCACCTGACGACATTCCTAAAACCGCCATCATCACTCCTTTCGGTCTTTACGAATTCTTGCGAATGCCTTTTGGTTTAAGAAACGCGGCTCAAACCTTCCAAAGGTTTATAGACGACGTCTTTCGAGGTCTCAACTTCGTACATGCATATGTTGATGACTGTCTAATAGTAAGTCCGGACAGAGAATCGCATCTCAAGCATCTGGACATTGTTTTCGATCGACTCCAAAGGCATGGCATTACTGTCAACATACAGAAATGCCAAATCGGAACAAACTCCTTAAACTTCCTAGGACACACCATTGATGCCCAAGGCATCCGACCCCTTAGGAGCAAAGTGGCGGCCATTCTGGATTACCCAGAACCGACCACGATCAAGCACTTACGAACTTTTAACGGACTCGTAAGTTTCTATAGACGGTTCATACCTAAATGCGCATCCCTAATGAAACCGTTAACCGATCAGCTTCGTGGAAATGAGAAATCAATTAGTTTAGACGACATAGCCCGTAAAGCATTCTCCACAGTTAAGGAACGCATCGCTAAAGCAACCCTGCTTGCTCATCAGGACACTCAAGTGCCCATTAGTATCGCAGTAGACGCATCCGACTCAGCAGTCGGAGCAGTCTTACAACAATGGGTTAACAACTCGTGGCAACCTTTAGGATTTTTCTCGAGACGGTTGCTAGACGCTGAATCTAGGTACAGCACGTTCGGTAGGGAACTCCTAGCTATGTATTGTGCTGTACGGCATTTCCAACATTCCATCGAAGGAAGAGAATTCACGCTTTTTACCGATCACAAACCTCTTACCTTCTCTTTAAATTCATCTTCAGACAAGTACTCACCGCGAGAGTCTCGACAACTCGACTACATTTCGCAGTTTACTTCAGACATACAGCATATTTCTGGAGCTAACAATGTAGTCGCAGACGCCTTGTCTCGAATTAGCTCCTTGAACAGTTTCCAAGGAATCGACCTTCTTAAACTCGCTCAGCTTCAAAAAGAAGACATTGATCTTCAGCATGAGTTATCCTCGACAACTCTTAAACTAAGTATTAGGTAGATGGGAACAGGTAAGGAAACCTTACTCTGTGACACATCTACAGGTAGGGATCGTTCAATTGTACCAAAACACTATCGCCGCAACGTCTTCAATACGTTGCACAATCTTTCTCATCCAGGTGCTCGTGCAACAATCGAACTTATAGCCGAACGCTTTTGTTGGCCTGGCATGAATAAAGACGTGAGGGAGTGGGCACGCTCCTGTGTAAGCTGTCAGAAATCTAAGGTAATCAGACACAACAAATGTCCCTTAGGTTCTTTCAAAACCCCTGACGCTCGTTTCGACCACGTCCATCTAGATTTGGTAGGACCCTTACCCGA